GCGCGCATGCGTTCGGTGCCCTCAAGTTCAGACTTTATCTGCATTGCGGAGTATTGGGTACTTCCATATGTGGATACCGTTACTTCGAATTCTGATGACTAGTCCATATTGTATTAGGGTGGGGAACATGAATAATATACTAAGTCACTTGTTTTAATATTAAAAAGAGTGGACAGATATGAGGAAGCATTGAAAACGTATGTGCTACGTCCAGAGCGGAAAGGCAAAGCAATAGCGCAAGTACTGCGCCAATTTGGCTCATATCTTGGTAATCGACAATCGTGAGAGACGTAATGTATGTATAAGGTATTTATAAATGGTTGTTAACAGATTCTTACAAATTAATGTCTTCGTATTATTACTATAGGAAAAGTCGACAAGGAGATTAGTGCGCCGCCATCTTGAGGAGAATATTACTCTTCCGTGTCTTGCAGGAAGTAACAATTACGAGAGAGTTAACTGGGTAGGTTGTCTAATACAATATAATATTACAGAAAAATATAGTATTAATCCTTATATCAATTGTGAATAATAGAGACTCGGAGGACATGGAGTTTGCTTCACTATTCACGAAGTCTCTGTCACTTTATTTTATGAATTCGCATACAGTATATATTAATTTACTTTTCTGGCATTTAATAGATCACCGATTTGGCTGGATCTGGACATGGTCAATATATTCTTGCTAACAGAGGTGACGTTACTTTTCGTATTAACAGATATAGAGTGGCACCAGGAAGTGCTGGAATTGTCTATGGAGGCAAACATGTACTGCGTTATTCGGACTATACTTGTAAGTAAGTGAAGATGTTGAAATCTAATTCTTACCTTAGTTGTATATACAGATTATTTCGGACTTCCTGGTGCTCGTCGCCGTCCTCCGCTAACGTCTCCTCCACTACCGTCTCCTCCACCACCTCAAAGTTGCGTAATTCTGTAAAGAGCAATAGTATTTGTAAATAATTTGTACGCTGTATCGTAATATCGTTACAGAGGTAAGAAGTAATGTACCATACGAGATTGTTTTAAATAAAAAATGAAAACAAACACCAGACATAATAGTTCCTGTTTTCAAACTACACGCGATTTGGTCGAAATTTCATTCTATAAACAGTATAATAATAACCAAACACAGAGTAATACGTGCATGGTTCAGAAACACCTGGCTACCATAAATATCATACCGGGTTAGGGCTATATTTACCATATTGATCTGGACAGTTGAGAGTAGCATTATACTAACAGTGTGTTTATTCGTCTGTAATAGAACGGGAATGAGATTTTATGTCTGTTATTATGGATCCAACATTTGCTTACAGACCACCCGTATTAATATACCATTGTAGAATACTGTAATAATGTCGATTATAAAATAGAACCGTACCGTCATACACACATGTATATTGTATCCGGCGTATAAATGCAAAAATTATGCTGTCCGATACGTTAACGTTATTATCTATAATATAATGAGAGCGCTTTTCTTACATTCCACGTCCCTTATCAATGCGAATTTAAAGCAATTGAACATCAATTAATGTCTTGGGAACGTTACCTGCATAACGTTTGGTGAAGCTAGCGTGACATACAGTATATGTGATTTATTTATGCTAGCTCGCTTTCTTTAACAACCCAAAAGACTCGTATATATACGCTGCGAGGAACTTTCGTATATAATGCTACGATATTGCTGCGAAGTCTGTATAATATTGTAAAACAATACCATCAGGATATTTTTCAAATATCTAGTGAGCATCACGCAATGATGTCGCCACGAGGATTCTAATTTTAGTGCATTGCGAAGATGTGCTCACGAGATTTCAGGGAGATGCATGGAATTTTAATAAAGCCGCGAAACTGGACTGTCTAACAGAATCTCGTGACAAGATCGTCAAGATACTAAGCGAAATTTAGCAATTTGTTGGTGACATCGCGGCGAGATGGTTATCATTATGACATCGTACAAACCTCGTCGGGACATTTTTAAAAAATGCAAGTTTCTGTAAAGCTATCAAAGAATTATCAGAAGATTTTGCTTTTAAAGCATCTATCAGTGCTTTTGCTCCTTGATTCCTCAGGTTCAGTATTTACCTGGTAATAGTAAATGCTGATCTTCATCATCAAGTAACAATTTTAATTGCTTGTGTATTTCTTTACATGATGGTCGTTCTTCAGGATTTTCACTCCAACATGCTGAATACAGCTGAACAAATGCTTCTGGTGTTTCTGGAAGAGGAGGATCACGATAGCCTTGTTTTCTACATTCTGCTATTACTATACTGGTCCAATTTTTACAAGGTATCTGACCACTAGAAATTTCCCAAAACAACACTCCAAGACTAAAAATATCAGATTTTTTTCCACGTTTATATGATTGATTCCTGAATGATAAGGGATCTCTGTATGCTGCAGTGCCTTCACCTGATGATGAGGACATCATCTGTCCTGATAGACCAAAATCAGTGATTTTTGCAACACCTGATTTCAGAAGAATGTTGAAATCTGACTGATAAGAGCATAAACAATAATTAATTTGTAATCATTAATATAATTGCAAACAAAATAAGGTGTAATCATAAATTACCAAGTCTTTATGGATGATATCAAGGTCATGCATGTACTTCAATCCATTTGTAATTTCCATACTGAGCTTGTACTTGTGTTCCCATGTTAAACTACGAAAATGCTGCATCAAGTGGGTACGCAATGTCCCGCCATTTGCAAACTCAAAAATCATATGATAACCATCATCTTCATCTTCAGATTGAAATACATAATAATAATTACATCATCATTACTCATGTATAGTTATTAATATGTAACAAATTATGATAACGTGAATATACTTACAGACGCCTAAAAATCGGATAATATTCGGATGACCATTCACTTTCTTGTGATTTTTCAACTATATACAAAATATTAGCTATAAATTGATAACAATGAAACTGTATGGTAAGCAAAAAAAATAAATAACCTCTTTGGCAAACTTCTTATACCGTTTTTCCTCGCAACCATCCGAAGGCAAAAACAATGTTTTCAACGCTACAAGCATTCCAGTGTGTTTTATTGTCGCTTTAGATACTGATCCATATGAACCAGCAGCGAACGGTATACATTTCACTTCAACATCGCTTTTTGAATAACGGTGGATAGAACCTTCTCTAATACTTCTCTCTATCCATTCCTTATTATAAACAATATCAGGTTTGCCCTGCTGCTGGCGACGGATTACATGAGATTGGCGTTGTTGCGGATGGGTAGTCAAGCTCGGCCAAGTAGACGGAGCATCGTTCTGTTGATGAATAAAACCTGTAACTAGCTCTTCATAAACGGCCAGGTTAGAATCGTCCATATAGGGCTGCGATTGCGAAATAGAATATGTTGGCAGACTGCCGAAGGTCTGGACATCAGTAGGCGATTGTGACGAATTGAGTGATGAATGGTATTGTTGGGGCAGTTGTGCCGGTTGCAAATCTTGATAATACAAGCCATCCCAGTAGAAGGCTCGATCAGTGGTAGATGTGGCACGATTAAGTATGCGGCGGTACCGCTGTTGAACCGATTCTTGTTGCTGATAAGCTTGTTGCGACATTGTGGGTTGGGTTAACTACAAGAAACTGCTTAGATTATGTCGTAACTATTTATGAACCAATAATGGAAGATCTTACAGATCATGCTTAATAAGGTTGTACAAACGTCGACTTACCATTCCATTTAGCACAGTAACTGGAACAAAATGCTATCATCAATCAATGCGTTAGAAGCACGGGCAACCATACAACGAAAAAGTAAAGAGAGAGGATTCGTCAAGCCTTCAGACGTATGGTTTTACTTTTTGCTATTTATTAGCCAATTTGTATGATTTGCATTTTGATTAGCATATTTAAGTATCCATCATACTCGCCCTAAATACAGTCCGAGAGATTTTCGAATTTGTAAATCAGATTCTAGAATAGTCTGCGGCCTTACTCGCAATCTAATTGGTAAAATAATTTTAACATAGAGAATTTGATGACGCTGTATCGATCAAATACTTCACGAAACTAACGGTAGCAACATACTTTTACGAGCATATAGTCTCAGAATCCACGGGGTTCCACGCAACTTTAGAAAACAGTTTTCTCTTAAACCCAGTTTGAACATTACACTACATACATAATGGATTGCAAGACTGGAAGCCAAAGACTTACCTTGTTTGTTGATTTCAGTTAGTCTTAGTAGAATGCGAGCCTAAAGAAAATCAAATCCGACGTCGTGCGTCGACTAGTTCTGCAGCAAGAATAATGGAAATAGCTAAATATTATTCTGAACTATTCACATTCCTTGATTCTCTAGAGATTACTCTTTGTGTGTGTGGGAAAGGCATTATGTGGGGGTTCAAAAAGTTTTGACACAGTGCACATATTTCAGCAACCACTATAAATACTTATATTATAATAAAGCTTGAGTTACACTTAATTAAACATAAAAAATTTGACCCATTTTGATTTGAGAAAATTTTTTTTGAAATCTGTCTACTGAAAACTGCGCGGACAACATTCACAAAGAGTTAGTCATTGCTGAAGGGACGGATTAAAGCACTACACTATTCAAACGTACTATTTACTGCTATATTGAAGCATTCGAAGCCGGGCAATCAAGAATCATAGATGCACACCAGTCTAGACGTCCTCGCGAAGCTGTTACACTTTCGAATGTTAATATCATTGAAGGTCTCATAAATAATGAACCCCATATCAGTATCGAGAATGTTTAGGGTGTCATTTCTATCTCAATTGAGAAGTATAAAACCCCTTTATATTATGAAATCTCTGTCAAGAAAGCATGTTTAAATAAAACCTCGCCTATATGCTGCGCCACACAAGTCAAAAATTGTCACTAAGTACTTTCAGGAAGAATGAGTCATATTTCTCCTTACTCTACATATTCCTGATCTGGTATTGTGTAACTTTTCTTTTATTCTAAAATAAAAAAAAACTCGGTGGAAAAAGGTTTGAGAGGATTCAAAATGTTCAGTTATGTTATAAATATCAGCATACCACAATAAGAGTAGGCTGAGTATTTTCAGAGTCAGTGTAAAAGGCTGAGACGTTGTATGGAAGTTAAAAGAGAGTATTTTGAAAGAATAAAATAGTTAGATTGATGTTTATTATGTAAATAAAATTTTCGGCGCCTCTGTGCCAAACCTTTTTGAACCACCCACATATACCAGATCATTGTTAAAAAGTCTTATATTAAACAAGCCACTAAGACTGGATTCAAGTTTTTTATATTTGGAAGAAAAGGAGAGAACTCTCTAAATGATACGAGGTACTGGTGTTCAAACTTTTTGCGATTTTGGAGTCCAAATATCGTTGCCCGATCCAAGGTACGAAATTCTTTCGAAAAGGATGAGGAGCTAGAAAATCAATCAGCAATTGCTATTTGAGAATGCCAACCAACAAGAACGTATTAGGTACGTGACGAAAATTGCTAGAAGGAAACGAGGTAATTTTGTATAATGACATAATAAGTTTGATGAAAGACCATGAGTGATTTGGTTTGGATAGTCTTTTTAGAATATTCTCCTTCCAAATGGCTTGCTGTATGCTGAGAGAATCCAATCGTTGTGAAGTTTTATTGAAACTCTTACCATAACGAAACCTGTGATTGTGTTTTCGGTGAATAGATACTAAGTGAGGAAATGAATAGACTTTATTAAGGCGCGGCAACTGATCCAGTAACATGTGAAGAAACAAATAATCAAAAAGCTGAAAGTTCGTTATTAACTCTTTCATCCCCCTTTTTAGGCGATTTAGAACGATCACGTTTTCGAGATTTATCAAGTAAATCTCGCAATGATTTATTGAACACTCTTCAGAATATATTATCTGAAGATGATAGTTGATGAAATTGTTATGCTTTTTCCTCTAATGTTCTGCAATTGGATTTAGAAGTTTCTAGATTTTTTTTTCGCTATCATAAAAAGAATGATCTGCATGTCCAAATCCGGAAACCTCTCGGACTGTATATCGAGAGACAATTTACTAATATTGTTTGAGAGAAAACTCGACTATAACGCGTAACCTACTATATCGAGACTTACTATAAATTTCATTTTATCGAGGGATAATTTAATAATTCGGTTTTTTGTTCAAGAAATTCTTGACTATAGTGCGAAATTTACTATATCTAGTTTTGACTGTATGATGCAATAACCAAACCGAGCAAAGTATCGAATAAAACGTACAAGTTTATTAGCATTTCGTACGACTTTTAATGATCAGATCTGTATTGTGAAACTATTCAATAACTGAACCGGTTCCAAATTATGTAACGCAAAAATTTTTTAATTAGCATAAGGTACATTTCCAACGCTACCGTTATGCATATAAACTAACTTTTTTTTATGTTTCCCCGATGTGTATTCGTCCGTCAAGTTGTTCTTTCCCTTATTTATTTTTCGCACTAATCTTCAAATACCCATTTATCGTATTTTTTTTGTGTTGATTTTTGCGCTGGATTTTAATAGTATAGTATACCCGCCCACCACCCTTGGGGGGAAGGTACTTTTATACTAATCGACACAAACCATTTAAAGAATACATAACGACAATCAAACATGCATGCCCCTTTGCTGCACACATCCTGTGCGATAATAAATAATGGTTGTACGAAAAATTTCGATTTTATTGATCATTCCAATACTGTTAACTCCTTACCAAAACAAGGAAAAAATATCGCACCTTTCCCACTTTTCTCTAGTATAGAAAAAAAAATGCAAACGTGAGGAATATATGACAATTAATAGTCATCCAATTTGCGTGTACGAGAAATTGTACTACCCTGATTAGCATTTTATTGATCACCCCGACTACAATAAAACGTTATGCAACTCGTCGTCAACCCTTTCTTATTTTTCTTTAGTTAGCTTTCACTTATCACTTATAACAAATTCAATGTGAAGAAAAATAATCAATAAACTAAAAAAAAGTCCCAAGTCATCGATATATTTACCCTTGATAGTCTCGAAAACAGCGAAATTTTTCTCAGATCGCTATCTATCAATAATAATAACGGCAATTGCTCTTCTCCGTCCGAGATGCCAATTACCTAGGTTTTTGATGGTTCAACAACCCAATATTGGCGTCCTTCCAATGAATTAAAAAAATATTACGTTAACTTTACGAAGAAGATTATGCACAGTTTCCATGCGTTTCCTGCTCTTACTGCTCACGATTGCTATACCCACAATCTGTAAAATGGATAACCCGAAACAATAATGTTACATATCCATTGGAAATGTCATCACCAGAACTAAGCCTTACAGTCAATCCACGCAATCCAACAAAAATTGCAGTTTGCGATGGATGTAAATCGAATTCTAATAACAGAACATGGTTTCCACTTACCCCTCGATGTATTCACGATGTACCATACGCCAAAAAAAAAACATCTTTCTTCTATCTATTTACATACCAGTCTAGGTTGTTCTTCTGGTACAAACCCTTTTGCCGAATATCGATCGCTCACTGGTCAAATGGAATATTCCAAAAACCGAAGAACATTTTCAATCTACTCAGGTATTATTGGGGCTTTTCCGCAAACTGATAATTTATTTGCTCCTGACAATTGCTGGTATTATCCATCATTACGTTGTGCTTGTGATTGGCTCCAATAAAATAATCTCTATCTGTCTGTTTACCATTCCATTGCTTCGCATTTGCTCGCACATAATTCCCATATGTCATTATTTTAGCATTAGAATTCAAACGGTTACATAAGTCATAAAATCCACGACCATCTGGGAATAAATCGGGGAATAAAACGGCTTCTAGTTCAACATCATGAAAACGAAGTGGTATTGACGTTCATTTTCTCCTTGGAAAAATCTATAGCTAAACGAGAGTAATGAGCATCTTCATTATGTATTTCATCAGGGAAGTCATACGATGGTACAAATATATCTGATAAATTTACGGGAGTAATAAATTCATTATTACTATCTGATGCGTGGGTTGTGGCTCAGACGGTAGGAGATGTTTGGGAATTATGTGCGAGCAAATGCGAAGCAATGGAATGGTAAGCAGATAGATAGAGATTATTTTATTGGAGCCAATCACAAGCACAACGTAATGATGGATAATACCAGCAATTGTCAGGAGCAGATAAATCAGCAGTTTGCAGAAAAGCCCCAATAATACCTGAGTAGAGTGAAAATGTTCCTCGGTTTTTGGAATATCCCATTTGACCAGTGAGCGATCGATATTCGGCAAAAGGATTTGTATTTAGAAGAACGACCTAGACTGGTATGTAAATAGATAGGGGAAAGATATTTTTTTTTGGCATATGGTACAAGCGTGAGCAGTAAGAGCAGGGAACGCATGGAAACTGTGCATAATGTTCTTCGTAAAGTTAACGTAATATTTTTTTAAATTCATTGGAAGGACGCCAATATTGGGTTTTGAACCATCAAAAGCCTGGGTAATTGGCATCTCGGACGGAGAAGAGCGATTGCCATTATTGATTTATTGATAGATAGTGATCTGAGAAAAATTTCGCTGTTTTCGAGACTATCAAGGGTAAATATATCGATGACTTGAGACATTTTTT